GAGCTGGCTGCCTCTGCGCCTGGACCTCACTCTGTGACTGCAAACGGAGCTTCTCTGCGCCTCCGGAGCTTCCTGCTTGTGCAGTGCCACCTCTGCCCCTTCCCTTTAGAGCTTTCGGGTCTGACTTTCTTTTCGTGGTTGCAGACGAAACGCTGCTCATCAACGTTATCTGTGGCGTGGTTTCAGGGGTGATCTCCTCTGCGCTGGCCAACCCGACAGACGTGCTGAAGGTAGGAGGTGCGCGGGCAGAGGTGCTCCTGGCTGCCGGGGGGCAGAGGGGCTTCCCCGCCAAGATGCATCTCTCCCAGCTGCAGTGGGGTGCTCTCCGTGCTGGCATCACATCTGCTCAGTTGGGTTTTTTGTGAAAGGGAACAGAAGCCCAGAGCAATAAACTGATTTTTAAAAGCACAGCTCTTAACGATCATGAAATCCGCATGGCGAGGGGCGGGGGCTGCGTTGTGAGCCGGGGGAGTGGGGTGTCAGCGGCTGTTGGTCACACCTCGGCTCCTTCCCCGCGGTCGCTGCGCTGAGCTTTGCTGCGGCAGAGTCCTGCCTGGCTGTGGTGTGACCAGGGGCCCGCGGGGACTGCCCGGTCCCCTCCCTTCCCTGCTGGGGGTTTCTGGGGTCAGGGTAGCTCTGCTCTGAGCAAAGAGAGCCGGAGAGCTTTCCCACGCATCTCCCTGTGTAGATCAACCTTCTCGGTGTGGAAAGCTGCTGCCCATCGCTCCTCTGTCCTGTCTGTGCTGTGCCCTGTGCTGTCCCTGCCCCCGCCTGCTGTCACCATTTGCCACAGGGTTGGTGGCATCTGCTCTGGGTGGCTCTGTCCCTTCTCCCAGGAGGTCTCCCGCGCTCGTCTCTCCGCCCTCCTGGGTCCATGCTGGTGTCGTCCCCCTGACTCTCGCTTCTCTTGCAGATTCGGATGCAGGCTCAAGGCAGTTTGTTCCAGGGTGGCATGATCGGCAGCCTCATCGACATCTTCCTGCCGGAGGGCACGAGGGTGAGCACCGGCTGCTGGAACCCCCGCTAGTGGCAGAACGAGCAGCTTCCTCCACTCCTTTGCTACACCCAGGTGCAGCTCTTGCGGAGAGCTGAGAACCAAGGGCAGCAGCACAGTTCTGCTTCTGGTTACGGGACAGACAGAGCGCGTCTGAGGGGAGATGGGGTCTGTGCTGCGGCAGCCTCGGTGCTGCGCCAGGCTCACCCGGCGTCCAGGAGTGACTCTGGCGGGGGCAGGGGTTCCGATGGGGG